TCACATGAATCTTCTTAAGCCTTTTCACATTGCAGTCAAAATAGAGAAGTAAAAGTATATTCCCGTGTTATGTTTAGTTTTTGCTATTTCTGAATGCTTCATTTGATTCCTAAAGCTAAAAATATTCTACCTAAGACAAAGAAGGTGTCGATTTTAGCATACAAGAAGAATATTAATGAATTTGCTATGCTATGTTGTGTTTTTTCATTGAAAATCTTCAAAAGACGAGAGCCCAAAACCAAGGAAGGATGACAGTAAGTTGCCATCAAACCCCAAAGAAGTAGAAGACTTGCGCCGCGATTCTGCTGCAAATCCATTGATTGCTTTCACATACGATGAGCTGAGAATAATCACCGGAAACTTCAGGCAAGATCGCGTTCTGGGTGGAGGAGGCTTCGGAAGCGTTTATAAAGGGTTCATTTCTGAGGACTTGAGGGAAGGGCTGCCGTCCATTCCGGTTGCTGTTAAGGTTCATGATGGTGATAACAGTTATCAAGGCCATAGAGAATGGCTGGTAATTAATCTTCAAGTCTTGTGTTACCATTAAATGAAATTTATTTTCCTTTGATTTCATGAAGTGTGTTGTGTGTTTCTAGGCAGAAGTCATATTTTTGGGGCAACTCTCTCATCCAAATTTGGTTAAATTGATTGGTTACTGTTGCGAAGATGAACAGCGGGTACTAATATACGAGTACATGGCTCGCGGTAGTGTTGAGAACAACCTATTTTCCAGTAAGTATATACTTTCATTTCTCGATTTTGATATTGAGATGAAAGCTTAAACGACACAACTTTTTTGGCGCCAAGACTTTTAAAGCTACTGCTAGAAATCTAGAAGCCTATAATTGTTTTATCAATGTGATGTATATGCATCATTTCATTTTTGCAGAAGTATTGCTTCCTCTTTCATGGTCTATCAGAATGAAGATTGCGTTCGGCGCTGCAAAAGGACTAGCCTTTCTTCATGGCGCAGCAAAACCTGTCATTTATCGCGACTTCAAGACATCTAACATTCTGTTAGACACAGTTAGTACATTCTAATCCTTCAACAGTTTGTCAGCAATAAAATCGAATGCTTAAGCATTGTTTCTTTATACCGAAAGTTGATCTTGTTTATTAGACAGTTGTAATTCAATGTATATGGAATGCAGGACTACAATGCCAAGCTTTCTGATTTTGGCCTTGCAAAAGATGGACCAGAGGGAGACAAATCTCATGTTTCGACTCGCATAATGGGAACATATGGATATGCCGCACCTGAGTATATAATGACAGGTTACATTCTGGACATGTCACATCTCAAGTCACTAGCGAATGAGTATTTCGACTTTTGAAATGACATACGTAATCTTTATGTGCAGGTCATTTGACACCAAGAAGTGATGTATATAGTTTTGGAGTTGTTCTTCTCGAGCTTTTGACGGGAAGAAAATCTCTAGACAAGTCGAGGCCGGCGAGAGAGCAAAACCTAGCGGATTGGGCTCTACCATTGCTGAAAGAAAAGAAAAAATTGCTCAACATTGTTGATCCAAGATTAGAAGGAGATTATCCAATCAAAGGAGTTCACAAGGCAGCAATGCTAGCATACCATTGCTTGAACCACAATCCAAAAGCAAGGCCTCTAATGAGGGATATTGTAGATTCCTTGGAGCCTCTGCAAATTCCTGATGAAGTTCCCGCTCAAAAAATCAACAGTTCTAACTGTGATTAGTGAGGAACCAAATCCTGAGTTTACAAGAAAAGAAGATCATTAGTTCACAATGTAATTAATTGTTAATTAATAATTAACATATGGGGGGGTCATATCTTTTGTTTTTTGGTTTATATATATGTGCTTCTTCTCTAGAGATTAGATGGAGAATTTTTGTATCAAATTGATTATTATGGTTAAACTATAGTAAATACATAATATCAATGTATTTTTATGTGTTTTGTATATTATATTGTTAGCATTTTTAGCTCCGAATAATATTAGCATATCTTTGAAATAATTTATCTTCAAGGATATAGCATCGGCGTCAAAAAAGACAAATAGCACGACGTCGTTTCTGGGCTAGGGAAAACCGGTTAGGAAAACAGTTCTTCGAAGCCAGTCAGCAGTTGGGGAATGATTTACATTGCCAACACTTTCTTGTGTCGCACACACTATATATATATATATATATATTTGATTGGTTTTAGCTAGGGATTAGTTAGCAACCCAGAATTGACTTGACCGAGGAGCAGAAATTTTCATACAACATTCAAAGATGGAAGACAGAGTCTTTATTTAAGGACTGCATCAAGTAAAGATTCAAAATTAACTGGTTTGGTCAAATAAGTAACTAGCTTTTCTTTATGTAAATCACTTTTTGACTTACTATTTCAGCTATTTTGCCCCTAACATTTCTGGCTGCTTATTCTTATCCAAGATTCATAAAATATACTAGTACTGGTATAAACAAAGATTACTCATCTTAATTTGAACAAATTAATGGCCACAGCACTAATTAATTAAATTAATATCATATATATGTATAAATAAATAAAATAAAAAGTTGTTGGTGGAACTGGAATCCATTAATTCAGCTTGGTGGTACCTTATGTCAATCCTACATGGAAACCATTGGAGGAATTAAGGGGGTGTTTGTCTAAGCTTATAAGTTGGTCAAACTAGCTTATAAGCTCTAAAATTCAACTGACCTGTTTGTTTATAACTTTTTTGAGCTTATAAGTTGAGCTTATAAGCAAAAAAAAATAAGTTGGGGGGGAGGTACTTTTTTTTTTTTGGCTTATAAGCACTCTGCTTATAAGTTAGTTTGACCAAGTATATTACCACATTATCCTTGTTTAATTTTAAAATTCCATAGTACACCCTTATTTAATGTACACCCTTATTTAATGTGATACTCTTTTTAGTCATTTTATAATAAAATGTACTTATAAGCCACATTTTACCAAACACGTCAACTACTTATCAGTCACTTATAAGTATTTTAACCAAACACGTAATTGCTTAAAATTTCAAATGCTTATAAGCTAAAATTAGCTTATAAGCACCTATTGCTTATAAGCTAATTTTCATAAGCTCAGACAAACACCCCCTAAGCTTGGGATTCCTTGTAATTACACACTTGTACACATAGAAAAAGTCATATTTTATAAATATATATTAAATATGACAACCAAAACCTGTTAATAAAGTGCTTTGAGAAAAGCACTTTCAAGTTTCAACTACTCTTTTGCTTGTCTCCAGAATTGATCTACATAATTAATTATCTAATAAACTCCAAAAGAGGGAAAACAAATTAAAAAAAAAAAAAGCCTGGCCAAAATGCACTAAGGTGGGGTACATAATTTAGGTTTTCATTTTTATTTATTCTCCGGATAGAAACAAAATTCAAATACAAACCATATATAGTTAAACCTTAATAAATTAATACTTGATAATTAATAACCTCAATTAAATAATACTTTTAGCTAGTCCTAACTTGGGACTAATATGGTAAATTAATAATTCGCTAAATTTATAAGAAAATACATTTTTAAAAAAATATAGGTACCCCTTGATATATAAATTAATAATATCCTTATACATTAAAATTATATATATACATAACTTAATTAGGAGGCATTTGAGCTATTCACTATACTACATGAACTCCTTAGCTATAAGTTAGGTTGATGATGTTATTTCCAACTGCTATTTCTTATACCATATTAACTATAAACAATATGTATATACATTAAGTTCAATATTTTAGAAAAAGAAAATAAATAATGCCTCAATAAATAAATAATTTATTAATTTATATGATTAAATAATATATCAATTAATTAATAAATTTTCATGATTTTCAAAAATATTAATTTATCGAGGTTTAACTGTATATAGTTGATTAGTTATAAGTAGATAATATTGTTATGTTTAATAAAAACGAATTTTAAAAAATAAAATAAACAAACCCTTAATTCTCACTAAGGATGCATACGCATACGCATACATGTATGTACTGAAATCCCCCTAAGCTATAATTAAATAACTATAATTAAATAACTGAAATCCCTTAAGGGGTGTTTGGTTCAGAGAATATTGGATTACTGGAAAGTTAGATTACCTTAAAGATTACTAAGAATCTTTAGGAAAATGAGTTTGGTTAATTGGTGGGTATGTTATATTAATATGTTTGGTTGAGATGAAAAAATTGGTGGGTATATTATTTAAATTAATGAATTGTGCTCTAATTAAATATTATTTTAATATTGATTATTATTTAGATTATTATAACCCCCCTGTATTTAAAAACTTAGCAAAAACAACCCCATAATAAAAGTTTGGAAAATCAACAAAGCACTCCCACCAACCCAGCCACTGCCGGCCGCCGGCAATCACAGTAGGCCGCCAGCAGCCGACAACCTAAAGGCACATGGAAGGCAGGAAATGGCCTATGTGCGCCGTATGGCCATTTCCAGCCAGAGATCTGGTCGAAAATGGCAAGACGTGACAGATCTGGCCGTCAACTGGCCAGAGTTATGGCCGTTAATAGGGGTGTTCAAAAGAACCACTTGGAACCGGAACCAGCGGGTACCCAGGGTTTGGTTCTGGTTCCTACCCGAAACCGGCCATCAACGGGTAAGTTCTGGTTCCAAATTTTTGGAACCGTTACTGTGTGGTTCCGGTTCCTATAGTTAGGAACCGAAACCGAGAACTGAGACTAATATAAAATAAAATTAAAGAGTAGGGGGTTAATAAAAACTTATGTAGAAAAAGTAATGTGAATACTGTTAGTAAACGGTCCCATACACGCAGCGGAAACAAAAATATAATTCAGGGATCGTTTACATGAGCCAAGATCAAGGGTATAATTTTACAATTCATATTAAATAAAATCTGCAGAAAAATAAATCTGAGTTTAAAGAAAACAAACGCACGTTGGAGGCTCCTCCAAATTTGTCGATGAATGTTTTGCTACCGATCCAAGTGTAGGATCGAACCTGCGTAGTCCACACGAAGATAATCTCAAAAAGAACCAAAGAGGGATTTGCTAGATCCTCTTTGGCTTCAAGATTAAGAAGAAAGCAAATCAATTGAATTGATTTTAGGCAAAAGATGTTTCTGCCGTGGGAGTGTTTTGGAGTGGCTGCTATGTGTTTTAATTTCAAGAAGCAATCAATTAATTAATTAATTAACACACGCACTTTTCTTTTTATAGTTAATCAATTTGCCCTAATCTCATACGGAATAGGCTTGGGCTCTAACCCAAACGCCCCATGTTGCCAAACACTCCCAATTTAATATTTTATTTTTCCATCATTATCTCAATTAAAATCAATTAATATATATATAAATATATATTAACATTTAACAATAATGATAATATATTTAAATATGTGCGAACACACATTTAAACGTAATTTCACTTATTTAATTTTTCTAACAAATTAAATAAAGGCTACGACCTCAGCAAATTTAATTGCACTGTGAAATTACCAAAATACCCTTTCGCCTTAAAAGACGAAAACGCCCTTCTTTCTTCTTGCATCTTAAATTGTCTTCTATGTGTGTGACCCTTAGGCTCCTCATCATATCGGCAGTGTATAGTATTGCGATTAACACCAATTAATCGTCTCACTAATACACAGACCAAGATTGGCCCCTAGCAAGGCATCATGGCCACCCGATAGATTCGGATTCAGCAAAGTAGCTACCTGTCAACGATATGGTTACCGTGCAATTCGATCCTTTCATCATACGTTATCTCGACGAGACGAAGGCATAGAAATAGTGTCAACCTTCGGTTACTCTCGATATTATTTATTCAGTTTCTGGACCAATGACCCGTATTATAAACTGGATAGAGCAACAACTCAATCCCACTGTGGCCACAGTTTTAGTGTCATTGCCATATACTGAATTGCGCCGTGAGATAACTTTCTCCCGTACCCGGGAGTGATAAATCCTCTGTCAATCCACCATAGTCTTGATACACTCCTTGATGCAGCCAATCACCACCGTATTGACAGCTCTGAAAAGAACTGCGTTAGGCTAGTGTCAAACTACACCAATCGGTGCACAAGGCGCTCCGGTGATCTCAAGTCTAAGGATCACATGCACCACCATTCGTTAGAGGATTTGTTCCATAGACACTGGGGTTACCATCCATATGGAATCCTCTGGTGGGTCAGTCCAGTGAACTTGCTGTGGTGTAATCGCCTACAACAAACACCCATGTGTTGCACCAGGTTGTCACCAAACAACCTTGACAAGTGAGATCAGTCACTGCCTTTCGACAGGGTCGTTCAACACTATGATAGCCTTACCGTATTATCTGTGCCCTTAGTTCAGAATAATACTGGGGCTACGGACGTTTCTAGAATGGCCACCATATGTGCTCATAGGGTTCTCACTATCAAGATTTGAAACACTTGATACCCTCGTCACGGCTCTACCATTCTAAGGACATATATTAATACATATTGCAATAATAATGATTTACGCGATATAGAATAAAATGCCTTTTATTGATTAATGAACATTATTACAAAGAGTCAATTCTACAATAATTGATTGGCTCTAGGGCATCTGCTCTAACAAATACATTTATATTTATATTTTAGAACATTTAAAGTAAGTTGGTTTGACTTTTGAGAATCTATCTTTACAAAGTAATGGAGTTTGTAATTTTGAATTTATAATTTGTAATTTTATTTTTGTTAACAAGTGCCAGGTGGGGGGGTATTTGTAAGTTTTTAAGGGTTTTTTTTGACATTTTTA